AACGATAAATATAACAATAATGATAAATATAATAATAACGATAATAAATATAATAATAACGATAAATATAACAATAATGATAAATAACAAAATAAATATAATAACAAGAACGATATATATAATAACAAAAACGATATATCGATATATAACAGAATACAATAATGATAATAAAAAAAAATTAGTTCATATTACATGATCTGAAAAATTTTTGGGTGGTAATTTAACCCCGGTTCGGCCCGCATTATACATAATTTTAGCCGGAATTTAATTTTTTAATTTTTTTTAATTGCAAAAATAGAAAAATTTAAGGTTTTAGCCTGCAATGGTAAAATTAGCCCAGAAACATATTTCACTTAATGGACAGTCACGATTTCATTAGTAAAAATTTGAGTAATTTTGCCTAAATTGTTGATCGTTGCCATCGGCCAATCATAAATATAAAAGAATTATATAATCTCATACACGTAAAGAATAGATAGACATGTAAGGTAGGGTAAAAACAGTATTTTTTATTAATAAATTCAGACCTTATTAATACAATATACAATCTATAAACCGATACTTATTACGATTGACAATCCAAACACATTGCAAGAACCGATCCAATTTATGTAAAATTATTCCAATATCATGATTACTACCCATGTTATATTTATTTTTAAAAAGGGTGATATTTATATTTAATTATTATTACAAAGAAAAATTTTTGGTAAGCAAAAGATGCTAACGGTAAAAGGTAAAATATTATTAAATATATATATATATACTATGCGAAACGGTATGCAAATAAATAAATAAATTCTAGAAATTCGCATATATATATAAGTATGATATACAGTATATATGTGAAACAATATACAAATAAATTCTATACATATCAATACATGTCGCCACCCCAAAAAGTTTCGAACACCACGTGGCAAATATGTAGAACACCAAAAATTCATGTAGCTTAAACAAAAAAATACCAACGAAAAAAATTTAGACAACAAAATGATAAACTCAATAAACGTAATATTTATTACAACCAGAAAGTATTATTATTACGGGTTTTCTAAGCATTTGGAATATTCCACTGTCTTTTAAAATGATTATAATCCTCTTCAATTTATGCAATAGCTCAAAGTTTTTATTAATACTATCGAGCCATTTGTTACTATTTGATTCATTATATTTTCTTCAATAATTTTTCTGGATTCAGAATTTTGTTTAAATAAATAATCAAAGTTATAGTCTTCCGGAAGAGCATTAAAAATAAAGTCTACAAGATTTTCTGGAACAAATCACATTTTCTTGATTAGTTTTTATAATTTTATTTCGATTTTTATTCTTTTTTTCGTTTATTATTAGTGGAAATTGGTTTACGGCTATCGATGTATATTTTTAGAATATTGTGTTTATTGATTTTTATTCCTTTAAAAGAATCATAGTTTGTTGAGATTGCAACGATCACTTTTCATTTTGAAGAATCGAAGAAAACCAATCACTTATTAAATAAATTAAATTTAATAAATATTATTACGTATCATGATCCTAATCATGATGAATTGACAATATCACATGATTTTCGAAGCTTTTTTGGTGGCTCAATTACTAATTATGTTAATGTAGGCCAGATGTCGGTCAGATAATTTTATTTTGGGATCATATTAAAAATCCCGCGCGGGATCTAAAAAAAAATCCCGCGCGTGCCCATCTCTAATTACAGTACATCAAGTACATCAAATACAATCCAATATGTCTGTAATAGATTGTGAAGTTCTTAAAAATGATAATCTTACCATGATTACCTATAAGTCTAGCATCACCACCCTAAACTGACTATGTGATCTTATTAAAAAAAACTGTTTCGCGATTAGTTTAGGGTTAGGGTCCTACCAGTGGGTTATAGTTATAGTAAAATTTCACGAGAAATTTTTTTTTGTTAGTACGTAGAATGCACTTTCATAGGCAAAATTTTGAGCTACGAGCGTTTTTTTGTTGGTTTGATTTTTGCACTTCTTTTCGTTACACAAGATCTGAAATCTGATTGGCCAGCGAAATTAATTAGGGTGGTGATTTAACTTCTGTTATGGTTACCGAAGAATGTGTGATTCTCTGGACAGTTAACCCATTAAAAGGCATAAAAGTGCATCGAATTTGGGTTGTCAAGGACATTTCAGGAAAATTTCAGAATTCCGTTTATAATGACTCTTTTGTCAAAAGATTTCTTCCATGGGCTGATTTTGGTGAAATTATCGGTAAAGCTAGTATTGAATCAGATAGAGTCCACTTGAAATTTCCCATAGAATCACATCAAAACTATAGACATCGGATTTTTTTATCACGTTAATATGAATTATTTTTTATATATTGCGGATCGACATATGCGGCATTCCGAAAACGGAGAATGAAATTAATGATTCCTCATCCACAAGGTTAGACAAACCAAAGTCTGCTAACATCATTTTTCTTCATGAACCAAGATATTTTGTGAATGCTGATAAATAAAATAGTCAATTATTAATGGAATTAACTATATGGAGATAAGTCAATGGAAACCAAGAAAAATTTTTTTAGTGAATCTTTTTAAAGCTTTAAACTAAAATATCTTATAACAAAAATTGTTAAAAAATCTTTAAGTCAATTCTATAAAATTATAAATTTAACTTGATAAAGTTTGTATTAAATTATTTTTGCTCAAAAAGTTTTAAAAAATTTTATTATAAAAATTTGTTGATTTCTATTGAATCACTCCCATATAATCATATAATGAAATGAACTAATATTATATTTACAAGATCACGATGGATAATATCACTCATGTGCAAAAAAAATAAGGCCTTGTGCTATTTCTTTGGCAAAACGCAATTAGTCAGTCCACTGAATAATTTCCATCTTCTGCCAATTGAAATACCATATGGCAAGGACCTTTTGTCACTTCATGAAATTGGATAATGTTTGGATGTTAACTAACTTGATGCAAAAACTGAAGCGTTATACGTGTGATTATAAGATTCAATTTATAAATATTATAATGACATTTAGCGGCACAGAAATCATCAAGTCAAACTCATTAAAAAATATACCTCTTTAACAAAGTTGTGAACAGTCTTTTCATCCCAACTTGTTAACGTTTTAAGAGCGACAGACATTGCACGGCATTTCCATTCAAATTTAAACACTTTAGCAAATACACCTTCACCAATTTCTTTAGAATTAGAAAACTCATTGGAATTATAGCAATTTACAAGTTTTTCGGAAATAACCTTGTCGAGCCACTCTCTGGATTCTTTTAATTTATCTGTCATATTTTTAAAAGAATTGGATTTAATTTCATTTTCTTAAATTTTACGTACTGTATCTGAAAGTTTCTACGCATACGTTGACATAAGGCATGTTATCAACCAAATTAAGGTAAGGAGATATTTTTTTAAAATTACTAGTTATGAAATGTGACTTCGTCATTCTCATTATTAATCAGGTGAAAACAGTAGTCACACCTCTACTCAAAACATTCTTTTGTAAAAATCCTTATTTAATTACTTATTTATGAAAGTTTAATTTAATAATGATTGTAACTTCTCCAAGAAGTAATTACCATTAATACATCAAGTTTGGCCGACCGTAATGAAATCACTTGTAAATATATACATGTGATAGAATAATATAAATGTATTGTAAATATTGTACACATTCATATACAAATCAGAAAAAAAAATGCATACTTCAACATTTAGTGCTATGCTAGATGTCAAAAGTTTAATTAGGAGGAAAAAAGCGTTGCATATACAAATATTATTAGAAGGAGCTTATCATTTAAAAATAAATAAAAGAA